CCCTTCCTTCCTTCCTTCCTTCTTTCCTTCCCTCTCTCCCTCCCTCCTTCCCTCCTTCCTTCCTTCCTTCCCTTGTCCCTCCCTCCCTCCCTTCCTTCCTTTTTCTGACAGAGTCTTGCTCTGTAGCCCAGGCTGGAGTGCAGTGGCACAATCTCAGCTCACTGCAGCCTCTGCCTTTTGGGTTCAAACGATTCTCCTTGAGTAGGTGGGACTACAGGCACATACCACCATGCCCAGCTAATTTTTGTATTTTCAGTAGAAAAAAGGTCTCATCATGTTGGCCAGGCTGGTCTTGAACTCTTGGCCTCAAATGATCTGCCAGCTTCAGCCTCCCAAAGTGCTGGGAGTACAGGCGTGAGCCCCCATGCCCAGCCCCTTTGATGTTATTTACTCTTAAGACCAAACTATAATTTCCTAATATTCTAGGAATATTAAATAATCTTAACTCCTTCTAAAGGACATCTTTCTTGCCACAACAGCACTTTTATAAGTGGCCTGTCTCCTTTGACAAGGCTTAACTGGTGAGTGGTAAAGTTCTCTGGTTTCCATGAAAAAGTGAACCAGTCAGAGCCCTGCATGGGCAGGAAGAGCTTTTGCTCCTTGTCAGAATCAGAAGTGAACTCTAAGCATCAGAATGACTCAGCCCGTGGTTTTCTGAAACATGGTCAGATTCATTCAAATAATAATTTTTAATCAAATTACTTATTTTATTATTTCTACCTTATGCTAACAAAGGAGTCATGCTTCTATCAAGAAGGACTGTGCTGGCTCACTTTATTGACTGAAAGTCACAACAGGACTGTTCTGTAATATCAGCCTGTCTTGTTTGTAAACAAAAGCTCACAAGTCTATCTTGGCAGATTACAAGTCCTAAGTATCTCTTTAGGTAGCTTCTTTAACTGGCTTGGGTAGATGCAACAGTTACTGTACCTGGTTCTGAAAGCTAAGTAAGGTTCTAGTTATTGTGAAACATGCTTACAGTAGTTCTCCTTTATCCATGGCTATGCTTTCCAAGATTTCAGTTACCTGCAGTCAACCACAGTCCAAAAAAATTAAATGGAAAATTCCAGAAATGATTCAGAAGTGTTAAGTTACATACTGTTCTGAGTAGAAGGATGAAATCTCATGCTGTCCCACTCTGTCCTTCCCCTTGGAATGTGAATCCCTTTGTCCAGCAGGGCCATGCTGTCTATACTCCCTGCCCCGTGGTCAGTCACTTAGTAGCTGTCTCAGTTGCAGTAGCTGTCTTAGTAGCTGTCTCACTGCATTAGTAGCTGTCTCACTGCAGTATTGCAGTGCTGTGTTCAAGTCACTCTTATTTTACTTTCTAATGGCTCCAAGTGAAAGAGTAGTGATGCTGGCAATTTGAATATGCCAGAGAGCAGCCACAAAATGCTTCCTTTAAGTTAATGGTAACAGTTCTCAATTTTATCAATAAGGAAAGAAAAAAATGTACACCGAGGTTGCTAAGATCTAAGGTAAGAGCAACTCTTCTATCTGTGTAATTGTAAAGAAGGAAAAAGAAATTCACACACAGTGTACACAGGGTTCAGTGCTATCTGAGGTTTTAGCATCTACTGGGAGTCTTAGAACATGTCCCCCAAGGCTAAGGCAGTACTACTGTATTTAGAGAGTGACTCAGATGGTAGTCAATAAAAAGGTGTAGGTAATAAATGAGCATGATTTAGACGCGTAGCTGCCACGTACATGAGGGATTGAGAGAAAAGGGGCTGTGCAATTTTGGGCAGGACCTAGTAGTAAAGCTCAAAATCCATCTTGAAGTAGTGTAATAAAATCCTAGACTTAGGTACTTGGCCTCACAGACCTGGGGTCTCCGCTTCACACTGAGGAATTCACAATGATCAGATATGGAGAGAACGTTTCTGGTCCTCTCCTCTGTGTTCTGAGATGAGAGGGGAAAGAAGACCAAGTTTAAGGGGCATAAACCTTTGGAAGGAGTCCTCCTGCTACTTTTTTATTTTCTAATTTTGTTAAGGACAGTTGACCAGCAAAGACAAGTGCAGCATCTTAAGGTGATAGCCCCAGAACCTCACCCCAGAGATGATGCTCTCTGGGTTGTCCCAGACTTCCTGGAAACGGCTATATAGACTTTATATTCTCTGTCAGATAACATTTCCTGATCACTGAGGCTGCTCAATGTTCATCATGCCCTATTAAAACATTATTTCAAGTTTAGGAAGGGAAGTAGAAAGAGCCCAAAGAATAAAGAGTGAAACCCCTAAAACAGCAATATTGACAAAAACATCTCTAGGAGTTTGCTTGAAATTATAATTATCCAACTGCTGACTTTCTCCTCCAGTGTCCATGTCCTTAGGCATCAAATCAGAGCTAGAAATACATTCTTAATTATCAGTTTCCTGGAAAAGAATGGTTTCTTGAGAATGCATTTGTAAAGGCGATGTCTACAGCCTTTGGAGATTCTGCACAGCCAGGCTGTACCTGCATCTGGTAGAAACAGAGAGGCTCTGACTGAGCACATGGTCAACACCATGCCCCACCAGTGTCTGGCCAGGAGTGCTACTTGTGGGTCAGTCACTGAGAACCAGCCATCTGGTCTTTTCTCAGTCAGAATTAAAAGGAAATTGGAGCAATTGGAACAGTAATATTAAAACTATAGCAACCAAACAAAACCACTCCAATTTTTATGTCATGGACTGGGTCAAATATGTATTCTTTTGGAGCAAGTCAATGTTTCCTTCACTCAGTCTGGCAGCTAGCATTCTCTGAGTGGCTGTTTACCTGATGTTTCTTCCTCCTCCTCGGATTCCTCCTCTTCCTCTCCGTCCTCCTCTGACTCCTCGCTGTCTTTCCCAAGATCACCCTTTTGGGCTTTTTCAGAGTAGCCCTCGGGCTTCTCCTCCCCAGGCTCAGCCAACTTCCTCACCTCCGGCTTCTCCCGCTTGGCGGTCAGGTGCATCATGGTGAGGTCCGGGAGGCTTCCTTCCGGGTGGGCCAGTCTGTTGGCAGAGAGCAGCTGAGTCAGAAGAGGAAAGGGTGTTGGGAGAGATTTGAGTGAGGGGCAAGTAAAAGGAGGATAAACACGAATGAAATCAGTGCATGTACAAAGACCTCACAAGGTGGGGTGTTAGTGTTTTGTCACTTTCTTGTTGGTTTGTTTGTTTTAAGTTCTTTCTAAAAACAAACTGTAAACTCGGTTAGGTTTTGTTAGCTTTTCTAATTCAGGTTCTAGTGATTAGTTGGTAATGAAAGCTATCGACACCTAAACTTGACATTTTTCCCGGAGGAGAAAATGGTCAGAGTTTAGGGTGTAGAAGCATGAAATGGCATCATGTAGAGCAAGCATTTCATGGCTTCACAGGGGGACTTACTCATTTTGGTGGATTGGTAATTTTTTCTTGATGCTGCTCAAAGTAATTGAAATAGAAAGGAAAAAAAGGAGATGAGAACAGAAGAATTATAAGGAATGTCAGAGATCACATATCATGCTACATATCATCCACTATTGCATTCCTGTATGCCTGTTGCAGTAACGCCCTAGTGCCAAATGCATTCCAGGGTGGCATCAACAGCGTGCTTTGCTTTGAACCCTAGGCTTGGCAACTGATCCGAGAGTGGACAGGATTGCAGGTTTGTAAAGGAGAGAGCATACTGAGACCGCTGAGGCAATTATATCATGCTTTTTTAGTAACGCAACAAACCATCTTGCAAGAATCAAGTAATTTACATATTTGTAAGTTTTTAAACATTTCTTAAAGAACGTGTGCTTTTAGTCAACCTTTGTGTAGACGAATCCCACTCTGCCAGCTAAGGCATATGCCATGGAAGCTAAATGTTTTCAGGAGTGACACGTCTGCATCATGTCCCCACGTGAGAGTTACTGATGCGAACTGTTGATTGGCAGCATGGGAAGACTGTGTGAGATCCTGAACCAGAGAAAGAATGCAGGGAGAGGGAGCTTCCAGTGAGCGCACTCAGCAGCCGGGGATGCTACAGTTTATTTCTTAGTGGACCATAACAAGTCCTTTCCTTCTCCTACATTTTTTAAGAGCATACCTTTTTATTCATACTCAAATTAATGTTTTAAAGAATTTGTGGGCAATAAAGTCTATATAAAGAAAAAGCCTAGTAGACATACTGATAGTCTTCTCTATTTATCACAGTTAATCCAGAAATTTTTAGCAGGGTTCTAACAAGATGGACAATAAATAATATTATTCTATCTGGATAATTGTAGGCTCTGAGTAAACTATTTAACTTTGTGAAAGTTAATTAATTTTCTACCAAATGAGGCTTGGTTAGATAAAATGCAGGTTTACTTTCAACTTATTGATTTGATATTTGTAAACATGCCTATCATTTTGGTTAATGGTTGCAAGGAATCCACACTGTCCCTACACTTTTACATTATCATTCAAACAATTCCCTTGCACAGGATGTCCAGCAGGTAAACGACAGTATGCCAGAAACAGATTGTTAATTTAACGGAGACAGAGAATCTGAGGAGAGTTCTACATTGGTGGAAGGAGTTACACTGACATACTACTTCCTTATTTTCCTAAGCTAGTCAATTCATCCTCTCGACTTTGGAGAAGTTAGCTAGTCTTAAAATTGCAACCCATCTCTTCTACACCAGTGCCACACACCAAATCGCAGGGAACACATTTGCTGTTCCTGCTTTGTCAGGACTCTCCATGTGAAATGTTATTAAATGTGGAAGTGATCGGCTGCTGCACAGTCGTCAGTATGTATTTGTTCTCTTCAGGGATGCATTTTATAAATGAAAAGATACCTTTATTAAGACAGGGACTTTGGTGGTTTCAGTGTGGAGGTGTGACCACCTCAGAGTGAATCTTAAAGGTCTGCATTGACACTGCTGCAACCTCATATGACAAGAAAAATACGTTCGAACAATTACTGCTATTAACAGAGTGAAACTCAAAGAGGGGAGGCTGTTTCTGCAGCTGCTACTACAGCTACACAGCAGATGTCCTCAAGCAACGATGCCCTCAAACTGCCAGGCCGCAAGCAGGGCGCATCGAGGAGAGATCGTTCAGTGAAAGAATCGGAGGAAGACACTGGAGTAAGCCTTCTGGAAGCAGGTCCACAAGGCTGATTTCTAGAAACTTGGAATGGGACAAGATGCAGCTGGGGACAAATGAGAAGGGAATTCTGCATCTAACACAGGTCGTTCCCTCTGACCTTAGAGGCACAAACCCCAGACCCTCTCTGGTGCAGTTTAACCTCATGAGCTTGTGATGGACGACAAAGAAAAAAAGAAATTACGTATCAGGCTGTCATTTACTAGTCTAGGAGTTTATTAGCTATCTTGAGAAATTTCAGAGAATTGTACCTTGTATTATAAAAAACTGTGTGCATAAAACATAGATAAAAAATATTTTAAAAATGAATAAAGCGTACTGTTTCAAAAAGACACGTGTGAATCCTTTTACTTTTCTCTCTCTCTTTTTCTCATTTTTATCATAACATTGATCTTAGAGGACATAGAGAAGAATGTTAAAAGAAAACTAACCAGAAAACTAACTAGCTAGGTGAGATGGCAAAGCTATGTAACCTATTCTTCTTTATGATTATTAATTTATTTTTTATTATACTTTATGTTCTAGGGTACATGTGCACAACGTGCAGGTTTGTTACATATGTATACATGTGCCATGTTGGTGTGCTGCATCTATTAACTTGTCATTTACATTAGGTATATCTCCTAATGCAATTCCTCCCCACTCCCCACACCCCATGAGAGGCCCCAGTGTATGATGTTCCCCTTCCTGTGTCCAAGTGATCTCATTGTATGTAACCTATCTTTAAGTCTCAGTTAGCTGAAATAATAGTGCCTATTTATAGGAGGTTGTAAAAATTAAGGTGGTTTCTGTTAAGCATTTAACACAGTGATTAATTACACAGGAAACATTTTAAAGTAAGGAGCCATCTTCTAATGGTAGATTTTAATATATTACGGTTTGATAATCTGCATCATAAACTCATTCTAAAGAAAAAGCAGAATTAGAAACGTGCTTTTGTAAGAGCCTACACAATGATGGATGATAGGGAAAGTATTAAACTTAGACTATAATTCTGTCATCAGCACCTTCTTTAACAGAACTCAGCTATTTTATAGAAGGCCATTCAGAAGATAATAAAAAGGGCAAACATTTCTTCGTGGGGAATCTGTTTCCCAGTGGTCTCAGGGTTCTGTTTACTGGGCTTTCTCTGTGTGATCTCAACTACTGCATCCCCTGAGGAATGGGGCTCCGGCAGAGGTGATTCTGCACAAATGCAAGCTTCCGAGGCAGACCCAGCTGTGGTTGCTAGAAGCAACAGCTGTATGGACTCTCTGGGAAAGCCTGTGTATTTTAATTCAGCTTTTTTTTCCCTTCCTAGCAAATAAAAAGAAAATGGATCTTGATTTTCCAAAACCAAAATTTAAAAACCCACTCTAGTAAAAATACTCCCGGAAACTTCAGGCTAAGGAACTTATAAGACTTGCAATTCTTTACTGAACATCAGGTGCAAATTACCTAATGGTCATATGAAGGATTTTGACTTTGGGACTCCAAATAGTAAGTGTGATGATGAACAGGATTCTCGGAGAAGCCCCCTCCTCCGCTGCCTTCAGTCAGGCTGCTTTGGATGTCTTTCTCCACAGGCAGTGCATTTCTTCTCGTGGGGTTCTCTTTCACATTACTGGTAACTGTGTCTCCTTGCCCTTATTTGGGCTCTGAGCTCTAACCTTCTCACCGACCATTAAACAAAATGGCTCTCTCCTTTCATGTTCTAACAAAGCAGATGACAAGTATCTGTTTGTGTCTTCACTCACTCTTTACACTTCCACAGCTTTGTGCAGCTCCCAAGGTGTGTGTTTCTCCATTTGTGACTCCGTCATTTTATTCTAAGTATAGGTTCTGGGGCCTTTCCCCTTGAAGACAGAATCCAGTCCTGCTCTACTCATCACCCTTACAAAATGCAGTACTGTGCTTGGGGTACACTGTTATTCACTGAATCTTGGGTGAAGAAATTTTATGCACTGGAGTTACATCCTTATTTGAAACAGAAGACACAAATTACGTGACAGGGACGCTCAAGGAGGGTCAATTCTGTACAAGGACCTGACTTTGAAAAGCTACATAGTAAACTACTTTCCATTAAAGAAAATGGAAATTCTAGCATTGTCAAATCTCCTTAGTCTCAGCATCGTTTGTTTTTATGATTCTAATTTGGAATATGCGGGAATGTAAACTGCACTGACACTGTTATCATTAGACTGTTAGCGGAAAGGTGACTTGCACCTGTGCAGTGTTTAATACAAATAACATTTAAAGTCAAATAACGTTTAAGATATATTATTATCTAGATCTCAAAAGCACTTTTAGAAGATTGTATTCACATAGAAGCATTTGATTTGTGAATTTAATATTACATCTTTTATTTATTTATTTATTTATTTTGAGACGGAGTCTTGCTCTCTTGCCCAGGCTAGATTGCTGCATTGGCGTGATCTCGGCTCACTGCAGACTCAGCCTCCCGGGTTCAAGCAATTCTCCTGCCTCAGCCTCCCGAGTAGCTGGGATTACAGGTGCCCACCACCATACCCGGCTAATTTTTGTATTTTTTAGTAGAGACGGGGTTTCACCATCTTGGCCAGGCAGGTCTTGAACTCCTGACCTCATGATCCACCTGCCTCAGCCTCCCAAAGTGCTGGGATTACAGGCATCAGCCACTGTGTCTGGCCTGAATGTTACATCTTAATTATGTGTGTTGGTAAAATGTACACTGTTTACTAGGTCAGTTGCAACTTAACCACAATTATCCATATTTTAAAAATGTTATCAAAGTGACCTACTGTCCTCAACACACTATCCTACCTTACAACTTGTAAAGTCATGTCTAAATTTTAATCAACTCTTAAGTTGAATTGTAGGTGTGCTCCCTCTTTCAGCCCAGAACTAACATTTATAAACATTTTATTCTCCTTATAAAA